CCCCTGGGCGCGGGGGCCGCCCTGGCCTGGCTGGTATGAGAACTGGGAAAACCTATAGCTGGGAAAGGCCTGGGGGGCCAAAGCAGAAGGGCTGCAGAATGATAACTGGGGGAGGAGGGGATGGGGGGAGAGGGGGATGGGGGGGTGACTCCCCTCTCAAGAGCCCTCCTGTCGAGCTCCTCTTGGCTTCCCCTCCCAGGAGGACCCAGGCCACAGCTGAGATCACGAGTGGAGCGTCCCTGTCGGCCAACATCGAGTGGAAGCTGACCCTGTGGACCACCTGCGGCCTCTCCAAGGATGGCTACGGAGGATGGCAGGACCTGGTGTGCCTGGGAGGTAGCCGGGCCCAGGAGCAGGTGAGTGTGGGGCGAGGAGGCCCGGGTAGGACCACACCCAGGCCGTGTCTCCTGGAGGCCGGGCTGGGTCTGGTTTTCTCTGGATTCCCCAGTGCTCAGTGTCGAGAGGGATCTGAGGGGTTCTGCCTGCAGGCATTTCTCAGGTCTCTGTCTGCGCAGGGCTGGCCCCAGTCTCGTGGGATGCAGCCTCCAGCAGGTGTCGGAGGTCCTGGGCCGTGCGAGGCAGCTTCAAGTCGGGCGGACGCAGGTTCAGGTCCTGGCTCTGAAATCTTAGCTGAGTGGCCGCGGGCTGCGTGCTTAACCTCTCTGGCCTCGTGCTCCTCGTTTGTGAACAAGGGTGGCACGGGGCCATGGGACCGGCAGGGCACTGTGAGCACGAAGCGCATGGTGGGCGCTGAGCGAACGGGCTGCCGCCGCCACTTGGAATATCTATTGTTACAAGGGTTCGAGTCAAGAGTCACCAAGTAGCTTCTGAGATCCTAGGGCGCTTGGGGCTCTATGCAGAGGGCTTGGCGGGTACAAAAGGCTGTGAGGCCTGGGCCCTGCCCTCGAAGGGCTCAAAGACAAGGGGGGAGGGGACTCTGACCAAAGGCGGCCGAGGCAGCTCAGACTAATTCACGTTTGAGCAACACGAACAAGCACACTCTGCGGAGGAAGCAGGCCGTGATGCGGGGGGTGGAAGGGCTTTCTGGAAGAGGAGGGAGCCCCCTGGGTCTCCCCTGGAGGGCAGCCTACAGAGCTGGGGGGGGGGGGGGGGGGGGTGGGGGGGTGTAGGTATTGGGGGAGGGGCTGTCAGTGAGAGGCCAGGAAGAAGTTTGGGCACAAAGGCTGGAGCTCGGAGAGGGGCAGGCTGGGAGCGGGTCTGAGGGGCCTGGAGGTGGGAAAACAGCCTGCAGTTCGGTCTGGCGGTACAGAGGGCACAGCTGAGCAGCCATATTGCTGGCCAGCGTGGGAGGCGCCTCCCCTCCACCCCTGGGAGTCAGAGCTGCAGCCCCTGTGTATCAGAAAGGTCCGATGGCCCCGCCTACCCTCTTCACCTGGAGGTTCCCACATGCACTGAGCCTGGGGGGCTGGGTGGTGAGCCTGCAGCAGAGCTCCGGGCCAGCCACGCCTACGGCCCACGGGGATCCAGGTTCTGCCCCGAGAGCTTACACTTTAATGGCCACGTGCCAGCCTAGTCAGCGTGGCAGGGGCACGGCTGCAGGGTAGTGCCAGCCCGGCTCCCAGGGCCCCATCCGGGGAGCAGAGGCCAGAGACGGTCTCTGCGGGGTGAGTGCTGAGCTGCCGGTGGGCACGGGCCTCCCGGGCACAGCGAGGGCACCTGAGCTTCACTGAGGCGTGTGGGAGAGCTCCCTGGAGCAGGTGCCACCACCCCACCACAGGGACGGGGTGACGGGGACACAGAAATGGGAGGAAAGGGCAGGACAGCGGGGAACTGGGACTCACAGGTGCCCGCGCAGCGGCCCCCCCAGTGCTCTGCCCTGAGCAAAATCAGCGTCTTATGACCCTGGCAGCACCGTCTGTCCAGCCTGGAGGCCTCTGTTAACACAGACAGTTCCTCGGCCCCTTTCCCCCCATGATGGTCGTTGAACTTCAGCATTGGCTGGGGAAGAACATGGTGGCAGAGAGCTACTAAGAGCGCAGAGAGCTTTTAAGGGACCGTGTTTATTATTAGTCATCACACACCCACAGGCCCTGTGAGACGGTGCCCGTGTGGGCGAGGTGGGCCCGCCTGGGAGCAGGCTGGGTCTGGTGTGCGATGTCGCCTCATTTCCTGAGCCGGCTGCTCAGTAGTCAGAGCCTGGCTGCCACACTGCATGTGGTGGGAGTCTCAGGGCATGAA